AGAGAAAGGATTACGTATTGCTCTGGCTAGAGCAGTTTATTCGCGGGCGGGAAATGGATGATTGTTTGTCTGGTAGTGTGTACACTTTTTCCTCTGTACATGTTGGCGCAGATCAACTATCGTTTTTATTTACAAAATTCCTATCACATACCGATAGAATCAATACCAAAACGAACGTGTTACATCAGCGAGCATGCGCCGACACTCTGTGGGATCACCTTCCCTCCCATTGATTCGATCGTATACGAAGCAGAAGCGGGTAATGGATATGGCTCATAGATATATATTCTTCCGCCTTTTCCATCACTTCATCTATACTCAAAAGCGAAACGTATATTCTAATTCAAGCCCAGTTATATTAGATTACTTTTGCCAGGCTGAGCATAAGGTGAGCATATAATTTGAGAAAGTAACAAGCATGCAGTGCTCTTCTTCTGGACGCGTTGAGTCATCGATTGAATCTACTTATCTTGGGAATTGTTATTGGTGATTAGAATCGTGCTACGGAAAAATCAAGCATGATAATAGCAATTAGAAATAGTCACGGCTGCGGGAAAGCAAGCGCTCGATGAATTAAAAGCTGTATTCTACTTAAGTGCTGCGTCAAGTTGTCACCATCACTCAGGCTGACAGGAGAGAAACCAGAAACGGCCTTGTCAGTGCGAATACGTACTCGGTCATTGACCCCCACGCAGAATATGCAATGAATGATATGACATCCTGTGTAATCGAAAACGTCAGTTATATTCAGATACAAAGAAATGAGAGAAGTGAAGGTATTCAAGGTTAGATTGGAGGCGGTGTAAAACGACATGGGCGCTTAGAAGGCACTGGATCAGGCAGGCTATGTATTTATGCCCCTACGTTATCAAAAGAATAACTGAAGCATCAAGACCTTTCTGGATTTACCTTTTCGTCTACTGCATGATTTGAAAAGCCTGAGAGGAATGATGGAACCGAAAGGGGTTTAGCCTGAGTAGATGACTGTGGCAATATGGAATAGGTGCGTAAATCCACCCCAATTCCAATTCCAGTTCCGGGCCATGCAAGAAGCACTTGCACATGTAAGTCGCTAATTCTACACTGACGCGTCAATTGTGGTATCTCATAGTAACTATCGTTTTATTCCATAACATGTAGAAACTGTTGAATGTTTGAGAGACTGTGAAAAGACCCACATACAATCCAATTACGGCGCATGCGGTTACTCGTTTATGGAAGACGATTGAAACATACACACTAAGTGTTAGGATTCTGCATCAAGGAACCGACCTTTTAATTTACGGCACATGATATATCAATGATACTTCGTGCGTCGTTCAAAAGAAGTGCGTGCTTAAGTATGCTGAGATTAGATATAGGGATTTTTGCTGGCGATGTATATATTGGGTGGTATCTATTAATATCGATTTTATTTGTATTCTTATAGAAGACACCATTGACAAAATAATAAAATGTCAAAATCTGCTCTTTGGAAGGTTGTGGTTCCTGAGCTTTTCGGGGAATCTACAAGCGGGGCTTCTATGGCATATGCAACTAAAACATTGGGTGTGTATTTTATCGATGCAAAATGAAGGCAACTCCCTCACAATAGAGAAGAACAATCACTGTACTATAATCAACGAGAATTCGAATTATAATGACCTTGCTATTTGTATAGAATCCGGCTCTGCTCCCATGTATGAATCTCTATTCAGCATAAAGGATCTGGCACAGTTTGGAAGTATGGGTCTAGGAACAACGTCGAGACGAGAATACGATCGGCTACGCTCGCAAAGTCCGACATCAATTCGAGAATCTCTTCGTCTGGACGCGTACTGACAGTGTATGGTATATTCGGGCTACTGATGAAAGAGCGCGGGCATGTCAGAAAGCGCAAAATTTAACTTTTGTTCTGCTAATGGAGTTGCGGTGGAGTTTTATGAGGCAAAAGACGCTTTAGTAAGCAAGATGGAAATTTATATAATCACTGGAGCGTTTGCCTTACATGTTGAACGTATAGTATATCACTCACACGATCTCCAAGAGTATAATGTTATATCGAAAGTTGTGCCCATATGGTCTCGTAGTTTCCAACCGTAAGGTGAGATGTTTACGGGTGTTTTTATACAGTACTATTATATGGTGTTTTGCTCATGAGTTGTTATGTCTTAGTAATGATCACCGACTGTCTCAAATTATAGTGCCCCGTGGTATTATGTCATAGCATCTATTATAGCGCATGGTCAGCTCACGGCCGATATGTACGACGACAACATGACCTACGCTCAAAGAGTGGTATTCCTGCTGACACGCATGTATTGTTTTTCCCAAACAACGGGAGATGATCTGGAAATTGTGAATCAACGTTTGATTTCCTGTGTGGGATAGTTAACGGCATGTGAGTAGGACGTTGAATCTGGTTTCGCCAAAATGGGTAAGCAATGAAGCGGGCGAATTTATCAATTATTGACTCATATGATTTGCCTTAGATTATGGTTTACGGTAATATCTCCATGTTTGATCAATCATAGTGATGCGTGAGTTCAAAGTCGACTTTCTATCAATCTCAACTTTCAATTACTAACGCGTATACCATTTAATCTCGGCCAATTCGTGCCAATTAGCATATACGAATTTCGGTAATCTTCTATATTGCTCTTCATGACAATCTCGTATACATTTGCCAGATACAAATGCAAGGAGGTAAAAGACTTTTGTGTGCATCTGTCGTCATATATTTATGTACAATAGTTTTGTAGAGGAAGAAACGTGCAATATTGAGCTTGGCTATTATTATAATATTTCAGGAAATGGACTTCGAACTATTATTCTTATACAAGACATTTCAAACTTATTCCGCGCCAAGGTTAGCATGTTTGCAAATGTTGTTTTCAATCAATTCACAACTAAATCAATTATTTGTTTCTTTTGTAGTTCCAGTAATGGGTAACAGCGTTCTTGCGTTCTGTGTCATGGTTCAAGAAATGCAACGAGTACAGAGTTTGGTTCGTGTTCTCCGCGTTCACACGATTGAATAGTCTCGTCTTCGATGCGCCATTTTCAGTTTCAACGAAAACTTGGATGTTTTGGCGAAGTTGTTAACTTTTCTATTGAAAATGTGCCTCGGTTTGTAATTCAAGATATTGCGGCGTCATTAATACCTAGGTTTTTAATTCAATGCTGTTAAAAGTAACATTTTCACGTTATCAAATTAGATTCAGTTCAGATACTTTGCACGATTAAGCGGTTCAATTATCATTTTATTGTAAAAGTTATCATGTGGTCAACTTTATATTACTTATATATTAACAATAACAGTACATTAATGGTTTGCAATTCTATCAACTACTAAAATTGTTCATGTCTTCCTGGG